TAACTGGTCTCTGACGTGTTACCACTGAGTAAAGGATACCTATATTGGATTAGACCCTTTTGATGTACTACACGACATAGTGATTTTGCTCTTCTTCCATGATAAAGATGGTTGTTAGACGAAAAACATTGGAATTATTAACAGCAGTACTCTGATAGACGTTATTTTCTTGGAAATGTAAGAGTTTCTTTGAGGTAATGACAGTAACAATCTATTCAGCTGATATTTCTATCCAGATAACTAACGAGGCCGATTTCCTTCTGGCGAAAACTGGATAACACACTCTTGAAAGGAATTATCACTTATGTCCTAAGTAGCTTGATTAACAATATCCAAGGTTTTGGTTGTAGTGTTCTCAACGTTAGGTGATTTATTCCACTGAATGATTCGGTCAGACTCTGTAGAGAAAATTAAAAGATGTTCACAGAAGAGCAAAACGTCATGAATTCACTGAGTGCTCAACGAAAAAGGATGCAGATAATCTCCCTTTCACCTTACAATACTCAACCAAGATAGTGTTCACGAGTGTGTTTGGAAAGCGAGTCTATTGTGCTGTCAGAATACTGGGCTGCAAAAGAACGAGTGAACTTAGACATACAAAATGAGAAGACCTAGTACGTCAAGTTGTTCTCTACACCTTGACGAATTAGCTGTTGAGGGGGAAAGATGATCCGAATGTATTGTTCAGTGAATTTGACAAGTGTTTACACAGAATACCAATGGTGATGTTACTCTTGAACTCGAGTTTCAGTAGAACAATTTTTTTAATCTACATGGAACTGTTTCACAACAGACGTTTTCTCATACTTCGATATATGGATCTGGATGAGCAACCATTCTATATTACTATATCAGGAAAAGCTTTTAATTTATTTCTCACATTTTTATCAATACATATCTTTCTGATTCTTTAGCAGAGACAGCATAAAAGATTTCTCTTCCTGCTTAGAGATTCCTAGCTTTCTTTTCTAAGTAGTAGGCAATAAACCACATTTGTTGTTTAAGCGCTAGTGAAACTACCTGGCTAACCAAACCTCGGTAGGTGGAGCGGTGTTTGAACCCGTGACCCATACCTCCACCTTTTCCAAGTAGGCTTTCTATGGATGGACTTCCGAATGAATTTGTCAGGTCTTCCTTCAACTTTGAAGTTAAAGCAACCAAACGTCGAGTTTGACCCAGTTTTCAACAAAAGTGATTGGAGAATACCTGTCGTTGAGACTGTAAAGGAGGCTTACCACGTCTAATTTTCTTATAATAAATTATAGAGACGTCGTGTATATATATATATATATATATATATATATATATATATATATATATATATATATATAATGTGCAATAAATTGATTTTTTGTTGAAAGTAAGATGCTGTTTTCAAGTCTATCTGTTCAATAGGATCTATCTGACTCATCGTCTTTTTGAACTGGTTTCCATCATATGAAATGATTGGAATCTCCTTTATATAATCGGATTTACTTATCGGTACAATGCCGACATCTACATTTATGGGGATCATGATCAGACCTTCGCTTTTCTTCAACTGATTTTGACTACTTTTCAATGGAGCATGTCTTTAATTAGGTAAAAAAAAATTTATCCTACTGAAGCGCGAGTTTAAGAGTAACATCACCATTGGTATTCTGTGTAAACACTTGTCAAATTCACTGAACAATACATTCGGATCATCTTTCCCCCTCAACAGCTAATTCGTCAAGGTGTAGAGAACAACTTGACGTACTAGGTCTTCTCATTTTGTATGTCTAAGTTCACTCGTTCTTTTGCAGCCCAGTATTCTGACAGCACAATAGACTCGCTTTCCAAACACACTCGTGAACACTATCTTGGTTGAGTATTGTAAGGTGAAAGGGAGATTATCTGCAGCCTTTTTCGTTGAGCACTCAGTGAATTCACGACGTTTTGCTCTTCTTCAAATGGCGGGAGGATAAGATATCTTGTGCAACTGAAGCACTAATCATCTACAAACTCAAAAGAAATATGTGTAGGTCCTTTTTGCCATGGGCTTAAAATTGTCAGACCGCAATTCTTCGCTTTTAATTGTTTTGTAATTTCCAGAAAAAACATAACTATTGGATAGTCTCTCTTTTCTTGTCTTTCGTTAGAAAATTTTAGAGAATTTTACTCATATTACGTAATATTCCCAAACTACCTTGATGGTTTTTCCTTCATTGCTCTACGGACTCTGACGGTATATTCCTCCAGAACTTTTTAACGTTGGATTACATACTTAGGAATGTACAGCTAAGAAATGAGCTGTCGAAAAGATGATAATCTTTTCTGTAACAACTTTTTGTCCTTTCTAATGAAATGGAGACATTTCGAAACAGTGGAAATGTTTAGCAAGATGTCTTTACTTATTTAACATTACAACTTTGCAAGGAATTACACGGTTAGTGAGGTGACAGTTTAGTGAATGTGAAACAACTATCCCGATGCGTAACTTATCTTCAAAAATATACGACCAGAATAGTGATCACCACATCAGCTTGTAAATATATGAAAATAAGAATGCAAACGGATAGATAATCTCATAGAATTACCTTCGGCTCGTGGGTCATATATTCGAACACAGTTGTCGGAGGAAGCTGTCAAAATGCCTCGATAAGCAACATCTGCATCATGTAATGCATGGTTAGACAATATACATCGGACCTCAACACCGCTATTGCCTTTAACCGCTTCGCAGTCCCAAATACGTAAGCTGTGATCCCAACTGACAGATAATAACTGGTTTCCTCTAGGCTTCACCTCATTATCATTATGATAATGGGAAGGTAGCCAACAAACGCGTGTGACAGTTTCTCGATGTCCAGCCAATGTGATTAATGGGATCTAAATTGTTTTTCAATACAAGAAATCACACGATCTTATAGTTCACTTAACACAATCGACAAATTAAATATTACTTGAAATAAGGATTTGGTTGTTTTCGGAAAAAAGACTTATGCACTTCTTGTGCAAACACAGTCATTAATGACTTTTATTCGACTAATATAAACCTATAATAACCTAAATATCTATAAGGAATTTTAAAATTGCGTACCTTGAGCTGCAAGTTGCACCTTTTCACGTGGTTAATGATTATGGTACAAAGGAAATTAAAAACCATTGATAAACGCATAATCCAATACAAAGAATTAGAATTTATATGAATCCTGATCAAGATTCGATCAGATAGTTTATTTTTACAAATACTGGGCACTATGTGAAAAGTTGACATTAAATATTTATTATTACTACTGTACTCAAACTTTAGCGCTTTGAAATAACTAATACACAGATTTCAGAGTCTAAAAAACTGCAAATCTACCAATCCTACTTATTGTGCCTACAAAATACAGCAAATATCACGTTCATAGACCAGATATTGCACTACACAGCGCAAAACTCCGGTAACATATGCGAATCGATCGGTGAGTATCAACATACGAGACGACATCACTTCAAAATAGTGCAGGTTGCCGCATCTCACTTGAGTACATCGAGCGACAAGACACCAACAAAATCAAATATACGAAACAGGTTACTATGTAGTCAAAGGTGGTAGAAAGTCATGAAAACCGAATAAGAAACGAGGAAATAATGGGAATGGATAACACATTTCAGGTGATAGTGATGTGTAGATACTTCTGTGTCACTGAGATCGACTCTAAGCCATGTCACCTAGTATCTTCAATCACGCCGACTCCAATTGTAAAGTTTACATTTCCCTACATAGCTCACACCAACGGTCTGAGACTCTATGAACTGATGCTGTTTTAGTCTGGTTGCCCCCAGCATTTTACCCGTGTAAATTTACATCAACTAACATTGCACGACTAGGCAAACAGTGACCAGGAATACGCAACACATTTCACAAACATCTGAGATGAATGGGGTTCACAACCTCACCAACTGACCTACCTCCCCTGACTAAAGTTCTACGCCTGACTTCTGCGTCATGCAAGTGTTGGCACCAGAACACACAGCTTTTACAACGAAGGCGACAGTGATCAGGCACCTGAAGTTTCATATCCACTTATAATGGCCACGCTTCACAACCTTATCGTAGAACGCAGCGGACTGAATTGTAGTACACTCGGTTCTTAATAGACAGTCGGATAACACGCTGATATTTTAAATGCAGTAGGTTGGAGAAAGCCAAACGAACACTTTCTTCCTATGCGGAGATTTTGTCATCAGGCATCCCAAGTAAGTGAGGTGGTCAACACATTCAGTCACTCATCACTCTAGTATTTATTATATAAGGCACAGGCGGAAACTCATCCAGGAGTAGGAATTTGCGTTTTGGGTCTTCACTTAACAGGACCGTATCACCTGCGTTCTGAAGGTCTATTATGAGGTCTCTCGTGATAAGACCAGTCCCAATAAAGTGATATGATGAGAAGGAGACCTCCATATGACATCTGTGACAAAGCGAAACAAGAATGGAGAGAGTGGATGTCCTTTGACAGACACCATTCTGTGTACACAACTCACCTACCTGATACCTGATCATAGGTTTTAACACTCCTATCTGTTTTCGAATCTAGAGCCTACTTCTCGATATGTTGATACAAAGTACGCATTTCTCTCATTGGCATTGCGGCTGTCAAGGAATGAAGGCAGTGCGTAGTACCAGTGAGTGGTTGAGAACCTGAAGCAGGTTGAATGTTCTACTACCTAAACATTCGATAAATTTTATAGGTCTTATTCTCTAAAGAAGCGATTTCCACGAAGTCATAAAACATAAAAAAACTTCGTCTACCTCATTGGGATTTTACAAATATATTTCATTTATATGTATTAGGATACAGCCTGATGAGATCTAAATGAAAACAATAGTTTTCACTCTCATATCTCATTCTGGTTTCAGTCAAGGAAAGGAAATACTAGGTGAAAAAAATTCAAAACTTTACACATGATATAGTCCTTATAGAGTGGAATAATAATGAAAGACAAAAACCGGTCAGCAAAATGGTGATATATATATATAGTCTTACCCTCGTAGGCGTTTTTGTTGTTGACTTTCGTACATGTGCAATACCACCAGTTTCTTCAGATAAATCCGTGGATTCAGTTGCTTTAAAAATAAAAAAGGGTTGTACAGTTAATAATAAAATAAATGTTATACGGGTTTATCGGCAGTTTTTTGCCTTCAAAAGCCCTTGTATGCGTTTCCAGCCTCTGCCAGGTAAGTACAATTTATTGCCTTTACATGGCGGGGATGTTTCCACAGAAGTAAAAGAGCGACAGTGAATGTCCATCGCTTAACACCGGGTTGGTGGATACTGAGGGTTCACCTAGGGGAGTCGGAAAATCCCGATTCTAAACCAGTGGTGCATATGGGCTCCAAGTCCCAGAAGGAACGGCTGGCTCATGAATCTATCTTGGTCACTGGCAATCATGGAAATGCACTTCCTGATGTTGCTTCACTGCCTTGTAGATTAGACTTCAAGTCGAAGGTTCAGGAAGTGATCCTCTAATACAGCCATCTGCTTCGGTCTGCGCATCCGGGTAGTATCTCAGCTCTCACGTAACATATGAAATTATAATATATTATGGAAACTTTAAAGCGCTCACTTAACTTTTCTGAAAATATTCAGGCCTTCTGCACCGCAAACACTATAACTAACTGTTTAATCTATTATCATCATATTATTGTTGTTGTTTTTACATAAGAACCGTATCTATTATTACTTTCGCTTTTGTCTTTAGCTTCACTTCACTTAGCTACTCCCCATTACTTAAACTTCTGGTTTGTCTGTACTGTTTTGGGTCACTAAACAGCTGCCCCCATAAAGCTGTCCTCCAGTATGCCATCTGACATAGCTAGCCTGAAACCGCACACTGTTTAAGCTCGCCATCCTCAAAGTTCGCACCTCGATGCAGATCGGACAACAGGGAGGTTCGGCTAAGACTCTACAAAGCCTCACTGTTGATGTATGTTGCATCTCATAGATCTGCATCCAAGATTCCAGTGAAGTACTTCGAATAAATTCCCCATCTGTAAGCTTGTAAAGAATGTTTGATGTGCACTTATCGAGGGACCCTGTGGCATCGCCAACCAGCCTAGTTGGTGCCGCACTAAACGCAATAGCCGAAGCCTCCCTACTCTACTGGATCCACATCAACAGTCGTTTGTGTGCTGTTAAGCTAGAAGGTTCATATCGAGTAGAAAGTAAGTGGCAAGAGAGATGACGTCTCTTTGTCACCCTTGTCTATGCTCCGATGGACTGCAGCCCGGGTCCAATCAATGATGAATTCTATCATCAACTGAGTTACCTCAACCAGATGCGCTCGACAGATATTCTAATACTAGCTGGGGACTTGAATGAGCAGGTCGAGCGTCTAGGCTCAAAGGAGAGTCATTCAGATGGCCAATGGGGAATAGTTAGCCCCAGGTAGGATAATGGGGATCGTCTTCTGCAGCTTTTCGCAGATTATAACCTATTTCTAGCCAGCACCAACTTTCGGCACAGCCATCACTATTGTGATACTTGGTGTCCTCCTTCTGCCACTCAAGCTTGAAGTCAAATAGATTATACTGAAACCAGCTACAGATGGCGTGAGTGTATACAGGACTGCCATTCTATATAAAGTACTTGTATGGATTCTGATCACGCATTAGTATTTTCTAAGCTCATCCTACGTCTTTGTGATCATTAAAGCGGTTGTCTTAAACAGGTCAATGCAAGCAAATCAATCGCACCTGACATTGCAGTTAAATATCAATTTGAATTAGATTCAAGGCTAGATACCGATACCAAAGAAAGCGTAGACGAGTATTGGGTGCGCTTGCAAGAAGCCATGAAAATGGCGAATAAATCCGCTTGAGGCTTGGAAGGACGTCTCTCTAATAAACACTGGGTTTCTGCGAGCTCCCTGCAACTTCTTGACGTACGTCAAACCATTTCGGGTGATAACTAGTACGATGGTTCGCTTACGTCTCTTACGTGGAAGATTACACAACGCTTACACGAGGACCGTGAGGTTTCGGGGTCAGAACACGCGAGTCACATGGAAGCAGCAGCTGCATCAAGCAATAGTCAGAAGACGTTCCAGTTCATCCGAGCCATCGGCTGCAAGAAGCCTGGTGTCAGTAAGAAAGTCTGTGAAGCAGATGGTACGCTGATAAACAATCTTCAAAGACGCCTAGAACGTAGGTCGGAACACTTCAAAAAGAGGTTTACCTGGCCCAATGCTCCAGCGTTTTCAGCTTCAGTGTATCGTCCTGCATGGTCAGTTAACACTGACCCACCTAACGAAGCGGCAGCCCATAAGGAACTCCAAGTTCCAAACGCCCAGAAAACTTACCCCGGCTCTTTCTAAGGATGGGGGAAAGACTGCAGTCAGGGAACTGACTAGATTGTTTGGGAAGGTATGGCAGACTGACACTGTTTCATCATCACTCTGGAATGAGGTCATCAATGTGCTCATCTTTAAAAAGGGTCTACGTAATGTATGTGACAATTACCGGAGTACTAGTCCATTACCAGTGCGTCAAAAATATTGGCTGCTATCATACTTTGCAAAACGCGTGAGAAACTGACTGTTGAGCAGGAGGCTAGGTCTCGTTCAGTTCATGAATGCATTGGTCATGTGTTTGCCCTCTACCAGATTTTTGAACATCGCCAAACGTAATGCAGGCCAACAACCATTTTCTTTTTTGACATTAGGGCTACCTTCGATTCGCTGAACACAGCTGTGCTCTGGAATTGTCTGTTAGAGAGGGGCGCGTTTGAGAAATTTATTGACATCGTGAAAGCCCCTATATAACAACACCTCAGGTAAAATGAGGACATACAACCACCTGTTTCCATTGTTCCAAAACAGCAGTGCGATTAGGCAGGGTTGCCCGATTTCTTCATCCCTCATTAACTTTGCCACCAATGACATTCTTGGAACAGCTCTGAAGGTGGTGTAGATCTACTACCCGAGGAACGAGTATTCGACCTTGAATATGTGAACGACACCGTCTTACTGTGCGATAACACACAGGTCACTCAAATCACACTTAATCAGTTGGCGATTAGTGTCCGTAAGTATGGTATTTGCTTTCCGCAATCAAAGTACAAAGTACTTTTGCAAGATTCGAAGAAGCTTGTGTCTGCGCTCACCCTCGATGGTGAGCCGTTGAAAGTAGTCGAAAAGTTTGTGTAACTGGGTAGCTATGTGAGTGGTGAAATTCCCAACCGCATACCGAAAGCGAGAGTGACATATGTCAATCTGGGCCACCTTCGGTGCCGTTACATCGTTAGTCTGTCTACAAAAGGTCGAGTTTACAACGTTTCGGTGCGAGAAGCTTCGCCCTACGGCTGTGAAACCTGGTTTCTTCGAGGTGAGGATGTGCGACGACTCTATGTTCGATCATCGTTATCTCCGTAGGATCCCCTGCATCTGGTGGCAACACCATTTACGCAATTCTGAGATACGACAGCGTGTGTTTGGGCTTGATGAAGATCATCATTCAATAAATAAAGTTAGATGAAAAGACCGGCTGCGGTGGTTTGCACATGTGTTACGCATGTCTTCCCAACGGCTTCCACACCGTTCATTGTTTGCTAGCTCTGGGACTGGGTGGAAGAGCAGGGATGGTCAGTGTATGACGTGGCACCGTGGGATGACAGATAGTCGTATCGGGTTAACATCTGTTGGTGCATTACCGACTTCCTGGACGGGGTCCGAGAGACCATCCAACTCAGTGGCTTGAGACGTCATCAGATATGGCTCAAGATCGAAACCAGTGGAGGTCATATGTTGTAGCTTCTTTCTATCTTAAGCTGCTGAAAAGTAATGAGTGTTTTGGTTGGAATATATTTTATTGGTCTGCCCTTCTAATCATTCTATTCTTATCGTGCCTTTCTTTTTTATTTATCTACTTTGCTTTATGTCTTCATAATTTTGTTATATTATCTTGTATGGTGCATTTTTTCGGCGTCCTTGGTATATCATGTTTGTGTTCTAATCAATAAATAAATATAATAAACTGGTAATTTTTAGACTGATAAAAGGCTTAAGCATATTTACTACAGACACGCATACCTGCAGACCACAGCTTGATAGTCCCATCCCAAGATCCTGTGGCGAAATGTGTTGCACTGTTATCAGATCCATCGAGCGGGCGTGCTGCTGCAGTCATCACAGTTTCAGAATGTCCACGGCAAACAGCAAGACAGTTGATTGTATTAGACTTGATATCCCAGCACCAAATCTGAGCAGTTTGGTCAAACCCACCAGATACAAAAACTGCCTTGCCTTCAGTTTGATCTGAAATATTTTCATAAAGCACGATAAGTTACAAATTAAATGTGATTAGACAGTTTGAAATAAAACACCAATGTTTTTAAATTTTATCAATAGCAAATGGTGCCAATTCAAACTACTGAGATATGGCTCATTAACCCATATACCACACTATTAATGAGTGAGACTACACACTAAAACTCACTTCACCTACATAGGCATGGTCAGACAGGCAATGATATTATCAACCTTAATGCATCAAGTGTAACTTGACGCTTAGTTTGAATGGAGTTCTGTAGTGTGAATGCTTACAACTTGGTAATTACGTTAAGTCTATTAAGGTAGAGTTACACCTACTGCAAAGCGCCATGGCACTACGCAGCTGTTCAAACCTTAGGAGTTCAAGTGATGTTCTAACCCGTGATCCCAGAAGTAGAAATTTCAGTCACCAAGCAACCTAGCTACAGATGGATATATTTTAAAAGACCAAACAAACAAGGCCGAATTTTCCTCGATGAAGTATCTAAGAATAACTCTCTATAATATGTACGTATTTGTAGGAATAAAGTGTTTATATAACCACCGAAAATCAGCAATGGGTTCTGGGTGCGAGTCTCAGTGGGAACAATACTCGCTGGGGTGCAGGTACATCTAGCTGATGAGTCCCAAATAGGACGAAACGCGAGGCCTGGATTGCACTGCTAGTCACCAAGATGAATATAATGCGCAATATAACGTAATGCAGTAAGTCACCCATGATTTTCTAAGATAGCTGAATTTCAGCTTCTCATGACAAATACAAGTGACTGATGACATCGTTATGTATGGTTTCTACCGAACATGTAATGGTATGGCTCAGTGATCTAGGTGCTTAACTTCCGACCGATGGGCAGTGGGTTTCAACTCTGCCCCATCAACCGAAGCCTGGGCAACCAGGTAGTACCATTAGCCTCACATAAAAGGTCTGGCTCATTGCCTACTGCAGTAAAGTGAACTTGGTTGCTGACTGCATTTCGAACTTTCTGATTCTACTGAACAACATTTACTACTGCCACAACTAATTTGTGTTGAACAAAGACTTCCAGACCCGACCGATAGCTGCTACCTTGACATGGTGGTCGGGCTTGCATATCACAATGACCCAACAATCTATGTTGGTGGAACACTTGTTCCCTCGAGGTCCTACCCTTCCAGAAAGGTCTATAGGATAGTAGTTAGACGGAAAGCAGTTACCGTTATAGTGTAAATTACTACACTATGATGGGAGTCTGAGGGCGAAGTCGTACTGCTGTTAGCCGGATGGGGTGTGACAGCAGTAAGGTGTTTCCCTTGGATGACCAGCAGTGCCAAGCTGATGCTGCCTTCTCAGTGGAAGGGGGGTTAGAAAAGGTCGGCCCCAAAAATAACACACTCCACCACGCCCCACGGTCTGCCGGGCCGGCGGTGTTGGTTCACTTGTCGTTTCCTTTCGCTCATCCGGCCCCAAAAATACAAAAATTCAAAATAATCATACTCAAAAGGCTGGGTGTGACAGGCCTCAAGCAGATGTCCGATGGGCTCTGCAATCACACAAATCTCTTTCAGGTACCTTAAGAAGAAATAGCCTTCCACGGTGTGGGTAGACGGAAAGTGTTAACCGCCCTCACAACTTTGTCAACAATCAAGTTTCGTCAGACGGCTATCCACCTCCCTCATCATTACCTTCTAATCTTCCTTCACGTCTCTCAACTAACGATACTACATCATCTTCAATTTCTCCTAGCTCTGTAGCCTTCGACAACGATCTGAATCCACAGAACAACATCCCTGATCTCCTTAAACCACGCTCCAAATTACGTATTGGAGCCTTCAGTGTCCGCACCCTCCGTCAAATTGGTCAACAGGCTTCGTTAGCAAAGATTCTAGCAACTCGGGCCATGGATGTGTGCTGTGTTTGTGAGACACGCATACAGGATTCAAGTGTGGTTATTCACTTGACCTCTCCCGGCCAATCTGATAAATCCCCGAAATTCAACCTTCGAGTTTCTGCAGATTCGATAGCTAGCTCTCGCGGTCTTGCAGGTGTAGGCATAGCACTAAGCACTAGAGTAGAAAGCTCACTACTAGACCAGATCCCAGTTGATAGTTGCCTCTGAGCTCTCCAGCTGAACGGCACAGTGAGAACTAAAAGGAACAGTGAAACTCGCCGTTGTCTCTTTGTAATCTCTGCTTACGCACCCACTGACTGTAGTTCGGATGAAGTGAAGGACGAATTCTACCGTAAACTGTCTAACCTCCTCTCAAAAGTCAAACGCTCAGATGTGGTGGGTGTTGCAGGTGATTTAAATGCACAGGTAGGTAGACTGAGTGAGGCAGAAAGGCACTTAGGTGGCACTTTCATGGTCCCAGTTGAATGTACAGATAACGGTGATCGCCTACTACAGCTGTGCTCAGATAATCACCTATTTTTAGCCAGCACCAATTTCAGACATAAAGTAAGGCACTGCCTGACATGGCGTCCACCGGGCTCAATTCAGCGATGAACACAGATAGACCACACTGCTATCAGTTATCGCTGAAGAGAATCGGTGGAAGACTGCCGCTCCTTCTGGAGCACGTGTTTGGATATCAACCATCCGTTGGTCTGAGCGCATATATGCCTGCGTCTTAATAGACGTAATGAATATTTGGTAACAAAACCACTACGAGTGAAGCTCGACAACGAAAACACCAAAGCCGTATTCAGTGAGAAGTTGACTAGGCAGTAATCGGAACAAAAGACTATCACTCATCCAAAAGAAGCTTGGAGCCATCTCCAGTCTGCTGTAAAAGCAGCGCTGAAGACCGTAGCCGACTTCGAATTAGTGGCTAAAAAGAGCTAGTGGATATCAACAGCTTCTCCCAAACCAATGGATGCACATGAACGCATCCCTGCAGACTCCGTGTACGATGAAGAGCGAACACAACTTAAAAGTAGATTGAGAAAAAGTCTACGCAACGACCGCGAACAGTGATGGGCAGCAAAGGCTAAAGAGTTGGAAAAGGCAGCAGTGACTGGTAGCAGTAGACAGTTATTCAGACTTATTAAGGAAACTGGGGAGGGGGGGGGGAAGGTCAACAACAGTTAGTGAAACTTTAGCAGAGAAGAACGCATCTGCGATTCACTCCCAGAAGAGACGACTAGGACGATAGGCACAACGCTTCGAGGAACAACTTAAGTGGCCTCCAGCCACCACTGCGTTGCCTGCTATCCAGTCGAACCTTGAATGGAAGGTTGAGATAGGCTTCCCAACACTTGAAGAAGTCAAAAAAGTAGTAGGTAACTTGAAACGAGGATGGGCGGCAGGACCATACGAACTACCTGCTGAGGTATACAAGGATGGTGGTGGAGTGCTCGTAGTCAGGTTAACGGAATTGTTAACTGGTATATAGTAATCAAATATGATCCCCTCTGACTGGTCTAAATCACTGATTATTCCAGTATTCAAGAAAGGCGAGAAGTCCTCTTGTGATAACCACAGAGGAATCAGCCTGATGGACATAGTGTCTAAGATTCTTGGTTCCATAATTCTTCGACTCCTGAGTGGAGCTGGGGGACAGCAAACCCGAGAAAACTAGAGAGGCTTTAAAACCAGCAGTGGGTGTGTCGACCAAATAGTCACACTGCGCCAGGCTCTGACACACAAACACGCTTACCGACGACCCACACTAGCTGCATTTCTCGATCTGAAGACGGCTATAGAATCCGTGGATCGTACAAGTCTTATGGTGATGTCTCTTACTGAAAGGCATGCCGAGTAACTACATCTTCTTATTGAAGGCTCTCTAATAAAACACTTGTGGGCGTGTTAAAGCCTATGATGAGATATCCCGGGAGCTGTACTCGTAGAGTGACGTTCGTCAAGACTGCCCACTATCTCCATTCTTATTTAATTTTATTATAGATATTCTCATGAAGGTCTCCCTCTCGTCACACAGGGGTTGACGTAGTTGTGGGAAAATTTCCGTTAAACCTAGAATTAGAATACGCAGATGACATAGTCCTGTTAGGTGAAGACGCTGACAAGATGCAGAGTCTTCTGGACACTTTGAGTGACAATTTGAGAATGTTTGGGATGAGTTTCTCACCACCCATATGCAAATTATTGCTCCAGGATTGGTCCTCAACGTTGCCTCGGTGGTTGAGTGTGTCGATCACTTCACTTACCTGGGAAGTAGGGTCAGCCCTGGTGGCTTAGCGGCTGACGAAATTTCTGCACGAATACAAAACGGTAGGTTGACTTTTGTCAACTTACGCCACCTGTGGCGCCGCTGTATCAGCTGAATATCGAGTTGAGAAGTCATTGTTAATCGTATTCGTCTCGGAGTGTTGCATCTTTATATATATATATATATATATATATATATATATATATATATATATATATATATATATATATATATATATATATATATATATATATATATATATATATATATATATATATATATATATATATATATATATATATATATATATATATATATATATATATATATATATATATAGCATAGGATCATAACAGTGGCGACGGGCATGGGATCAAAAATGGACTCTTCGAAGTTGGACAAATTTCTCGAACGACAGATGATTATCGGGTTAATGACTCAGTCCAGAATTTTCTGCACCTGAATCATTGAACTCTATGCTTGCTATATCAGCCCCTACAGTAGACGGAATCGCAACCAGTATCACAGAATTTTATTATGATCCTGATGTTAACGTGACTTCCGATACTTGGTTCCGAAGGTATGAAGACTACTTCAGAGTTGATTTGCTGGTCAAGATGATTCATGGAAAGTTCGTCTCCTTCTTCGAAAACTTGGTCCATCCGAATTAGATCAGTATTGCAACATAATACTGCCACAGAAACCAAGAGATCGCTCTTTCGGTACCACGATACAGACCCTGAGACAACATTTTGGTGATCGTTCGTCTCTTTTCAATGTCAGGTATCGTTGTCTTAAACTGGTCATGAACGCGAACGACGATTTCCCCACCCATGTTGGCACTGTTAGTCGCAAATGCGAAAAATTCAAGCTGAAGTCCATCACCAATGACCAATTCAAATCGTTGATACTCATATGCAACCTTTAATCGCCAAAGTTCGCAGATATTAGAATGAGACTGCTAAATCGGTTGGAGCGAGAACCAACACTAACGTTGAATGATATTGCTGCTGAATATCAACGAATGGTGAACCTACAACGGGATAAAAGTTTAGTCCAATCCGGATGCCATGGTGATCATGAAGTGCATGCGGTTCGCCAGATATCTAATTCCTCTGCACCATTTTCTGGCCAAAAGACCCCTGGTTCTTTGTCTCTGTTTCGCCATCCCAACAGCTCATACAATACTAAAAGAAACACGAAGAAGACCCCTCCGTCCCCCTGTTGGCATTGTGGTGCATGGCATTGCATTAAATCTTGCCCTTGTAAGCAGAATAAATGCAGAGATTGTAATACTGTGGGTCAAAAAAAACGGATATTGCAGGCAGCCCTCATCACAAGGAATAGGCAGATCACCATCCAGTCACCGTCGAAGATCGAAGTCTCGACCAGTCGGCAAATCTCTTAGTCTTACTGCTGCTTTTCGAGCACACGCACCAGTACGGAGAAAATATATCACCGTCCAGATATATAACCATTCAGTACGACTACAAATCGACACAGCTTCCGATACTACGATTATTTCCAAGAAGCTATGGTGGAAGATTAGTCGACCTCCTGTCCAGAAGACTGTACAAACTGCTATTAGCGAATGCGGTGACCTATTACCACTAACAGGTCAGTTATCATGTACTGTATCTTTTCACGATATTTCGATAAACGGAGTTTGTTTTCTATCTGACGCAGATTTAAACCTCCTGGGTCTCAATTGGTTTGAAAAGCTTGGTCTCTCGGATATACCTCTACGTGCCGTTTGCAGTCAGATCAAACATCCTCTGACAATCGCTGATATAAGCCAACGTTTTCCAAATGTATTCAAACCTGGTCTCGGTCGCTGCACAGTATCTCAAGCTTTCCTCCGCCTTCGAGACGACGCCAAACATGTTTTCCAGCCCAAGAGACCCGTGCCTTATACATCATTACCACAAATCGATGCAGAAATCTCGTCTGGAAAAACAAGGTGTTCTCACACCAGTTTCTTACTCTGCATGGGCGGCTTCTATTGTGGTTGTCAGAAAACCAAATGGCTTTATTCGCATATGTGAAGATTTTTGTACGGGACTTAATGCAGCACTGGAATAGCATCACTATCTACTTCCAACACCGGAGGATATTTCTACTGTTCTCAACGGCGGTACATGCTTCTCTAAAATTGACCTGGCCGACGCGTGTCTACAAATCGAGGTGGCACCAGAATGCCGAGAATTATTAACAATTAGCACACATCGTGGATTATACCAGTACAACTGCCTCCCATTTGAAAACAGCTCCAGCAATTTTCCAATAAATAATAGACACCATATTATCGGGTATACCCGGGGTAGCTGCATATCTGGATGGTATTCTCATTGTTGCGACCTCCTCAGAACAGATACAAAACCGATTGGATCAGATGCTGAAACGAATAGAAGATAACCGGTTCCGTCTTCGTCCCGAAAAATGTCAGTTCAACCTACATTCAGTCAAATATATGGGGTTTATTTTTTATGCTTCCGGTCGCCGACCAGACCCCGAAAATATTCGCACCATACAGCAAATGCCAGAACCAACTGATATACCCTCCCTACGGTCATTTTTGGGACTGATTACGTATTATTCAGCATTCTTACCCTCATTGCATGCTGTGAAGACGCCGTTAAATCACCTCCTTGGTAAAGATTTTCCGTGGCAGTGGACCAAAGAATGTGCAACAGCCTCCCGTCAGCTGAAGTCTATGTTATCATCCAACCTTTTGCTGACCCATCATGACCCACGGCTGCCAATCGTTATAGCCGCAGATGCTTCGTCACATGAAGTTGGGGCTGCAATCCTACATGTCTTCCCAGATGGTAAAGAGAAGGCCATCATGTATGCTTCTCGAAAGCTGTCTATCCTGGAGCGGAAATATAGTCAAATTGAGAAAGAAGCCCTGGCCATTGTTTTCGCCGTCCGTCATTTCCATAAGCTGGTCTATGACCGTAAATTTACGCTACTTACAGACCACAAACCGCTGCTGGCTATTTTTGGTTCAAAATCTGGTGTTTTGGTTCACTCTGAAAATCATCTACAACTAAGGGCCCCAACGTTACTAGGATATGCTTTTGACACTCAGTTCCGACGCACCCAAGATTTCGGCCGAGCCTTGTCCCACCTTATAAGCGAATATTCTACGACCAACGAAGAAAAAGTTATTGCAACAGTTTCAACAGATTTCGCAGCTTTTGACTTAACCGCAGCCATCAGAGCGCTTCCAGTCACCGCAGACGATATCCAGATGGCTACATGCAAGGACAAAACACTACAGCGTGCAATCCGACTTGTTCTCACCCGATGGCCGAAAGAAACGTTCACAGCTACATCATCGCCGAAACTCCCTATGTATTGTCAACGATTGCCTTATGTTTGGAAACCGGGTCACAGTCCCTACATCTCTTCGTGACCAAATCCTAGATCAGTTTCATTTGGGTCACCTTGGTATCGAACTCATGAAGTCAATCGCTCGCAGCTACGTGTATTGGCCGCGGATGGACCAAAAAATTACAGATTGTGTCAAACGGTGTTCAGAATGTCAACAAACCGCCAAGCATCCTCCAAGACTATCACCCGTGCCCTGACCAGAGCTCGAAAGCCCATGGTCTAAAATTCATGTTGATCTCGCCAGACCGATTGGTGGAAACCATTACCTTATTTTGGTAGACGCCTACTCAAAATGGCCAGAAATCGCACTTTTTAATCCACCGAATACCACAAAAACGTTAAAAGCCCACTCCAATATCTTCTGTTGCCACAGCCTTCCAGAAACTATCGTATCTGACAACGGTCCCCAGTTAACCTCTACGGAATTTAAAGACTTCTGTCGTCGACGTGCCATGCAACATATGCTATCACCACTATACCACCCTCAGTCCAATGGACAAGCGGAGCGTTTTGTCGATAAATTTAAAAGGGCTCTACTGAAAGCACTGGGGGGGGAGGTACATCACTGGACACAATTCCTACTTATGTACCGAAAAACAGCAAACGACTCAATCCTAAATCACCAGAGTCCATCAAAAGCACTGATGGGGAGAAAGTTACGTACGACCCATGATGCTTTGATTCCGAAAGAACGGCCAAAAAAGGTTACCAACAGGTCAAAAGTATTTCGAGATCGAAACGCCAGTATTCGCCAGAGACTACAGACCGGGGCACAAAAAATGGAATGAAGGAGTAATTATCGGCAGGCGCGACTGCGTGATATATGATGTCGCAGTGGGAACAGAAACTTGGGTGAGACATAAAAATCAACTGCGATACCGAGCACAACTAGTCGAAGAAACAAAACCCAACGGCACCTCAATAGAAATCCTACTGGATACGTTCTCGGTACCACTCACAGATGTCCAGGAACCCTCAAAACCTCCAATAAACAAAGAACTACTACCCGACGTTGGTCATATCGGCGCAGAAATCGAACAGTTCGGTTCCGGTTGAATCCCAAGTAAAAACCTAATTTATTTCCAGATAAAGGGGGAGAGGCTAGGGTTGGTCAATCCCTAAGATAACTAACTCGTAATATTTTTGCATTATAACTGTAAAGTTTAGGCCTTATTCACGCCCTTTTTGCGGCATCTAACGTGTCTTATTTTTAATGCAGTTTAGAAATGCTAAATGCTGATTGGTCCACTTTACACTTTGAATATGTTATTTTGTTTTCTCTGGCCAAGGCCATCTAAGAATAGATAAACGACTGAGTTTTCACTTATTGAATTCTGTTGGAGTAAATAAATTTTCAATCTCATCCTCTTCTTCGGATGTCAGCTGAATATCGAGTTCAGAAGTCATTGTTTTATCGTTGATCGTATTCGTCTCGGAGCGTTGCATCGTTACACATAAGATAGCGTAGGATCATAACACCGTGATATCCGATTGTCTATTAAGCATCGCGTGTACTGCACAACAGTCCGCTCTGTTCTATTGTATAGCTGTATAGCCATTGAAGGTGGAAGACATGAGAAGGCTTCAGGTGTTTGACCACCGTTGCCTTCGAAGTATTCCATGGTGTCACCACGTGAGTAATGCAGAAGTTAGGTGTACAGTTTTGGGGAGAAGAGGTAAAACAGTTGACACGGTTGTGAACCTTCATCGACTAAGACGGTTGGGACATGTGTTACGTATGCCTAGTCGCCGATTACCTCATCACACAATGTTGGCTGAGGTGGGTCCAGGCTGGGGAAAGGCTCGAGGCGGCCAGACTCAAACATGACATCAATGTATGAAGTTTTTGATTGTTGGTTTGAGCCATGTGAGGCGATGCAGACTAGCCAGCTGGGGTCCGCGGGACAAGAAGAACCAGTTGCTGGAGACTCTAGCGGATATAGCTCAGAACCGAAGTCAGTGGCGCAGATGTATACACACATTATCTTCATCTTAACAATATACCGATGCTCACTATTCTCTCATTCTTCCTTTCTCTTCTTTCGTACTTTATATTCCTTTTGACTGAGTTTTCTTTTCTTCATCTTTCACCTCACTACCTTTCTACTTGATGTACTGATATGAGGTGTGGCAACTCGGACCGTTACGCAGTAATGCCTCGTCCTATGTTGATGATGATGAAGACTTTCAGAGGTGATGTAGTCGACACCATTATGCATAGTTTCGAAGACGACTAAACTCGGCATGTAATATTTTTAACTGAACATTGTAAACCACAATATGGGTGAAACAGCTTGATTCTAAACTTCAGTGTGTCAAAGAAATAAAACGATAATAGCATTCCTCTGTAACTCAGAATGAGTCACCTTTGAAAAACTTCGAGTTAAAAACAATGTACATTTAAGGTGCTTCATTGGGTTGATGAAAAGAGATATGTATGGGTACACCAAATAAAATTTTGCATAATGCAACAAATATACACACTAAATCCTACAAATTGTAACGGCACATGAAAAAGCTTACTTAAATTGATCCATTCCACACATTTAACTTTATCTTCTAGTTCCATTGAGAAAACAATGTTTTTACTATCTATGCCCCAAATGTGTATTGTACCATCATATCCACCCGTCAGAATGCTAAACTCAGAAAAACAATGGAAAGAATTTAGTTTAACCTGATAAGTATCGAATATCAAAGAAACAATTCTCAGAAAAAGGAGGAACCTACTTTACATTACGAACTGTTTGAATATTAGAGCATAACATATAAGATGTACTCAAGTTATTATACCTTCATCTACGAGTGACATATGATTAAAGTTGTAATTTCCGTAATGGGAGTTAAAATATATGTTTCGCTCTATGAGACCCAACCATCCATCCAAATCAACATAGGACGAGGCATTACTGCGTAACGGTCCGAGTTGCCACACCTCATATCAGTACATCAAGTAGAAAGGTAGTGAGGTGAAAGATGAAGAAAAGAAAACTCAGTCAAAAGGAATATAAAGTACGAAAGAAGAGAAAGGAAGAATGAGAGAATAGTGAGCATCGGTATATTGTTAAGATGAAGATAATGTGTGTATACATCTGCGCCACTGACTTCGGTTCTGAGCTATATCCGCTAGAGTCTCCAGCAACTGGTTCTTCTTGTCCCGCGGACCCCAGCTGGCTAGTCTGCATCGCCTCACATGGCTCAAACCAACAGTCAAAGACTTCATGCCCCATCAACTGAGGTTTGATGGCTCATGCTTTACTGCACGGATGGGCACAAGGCTACTGAGTGCGTTTTGATCTCTCGCCTAACACTAATTATTTTGAATATAACTGATTGTAACTTTTTAAGACAGACGATGTCTTGCTGCAGTCGCCGGGTTTGTGAATTATCTTGATTTAAATGAACTGTGAAGTCTTTCATTAAAGTTTAATAATGTCAAAACGGCAACACATCCACCCAGAAATCTAATCTAGAACGAGGGTAGGATGAGCCCGCTCATCACGTTATTAAAAAAATCGTTAATAGCTCACGTCCGGGAAATCCTACTGACTAGCTTTAAATGGTGTGTTTCTACAAAAGTGAAAAAATGAAAGAGAATTATCAGTACTCGTTATCGGATTGGAGAGTACGGAGCGTCCACAAATGGTGAGCATGGGTTCTAAGATCTGGAACAAATGAATGACGTGCGAAACTAACTGGTTACCGACAATAATAACAATGCAGCACCAAATGTTACTTTGCTGCCTTATGAATTGCACTCCGAGTTAAACGTTATGGTACTTTTCTTTTAAGATAATCACATGCTTCTGCTTCAAGCCCCACACAACCCATGAGAAAGCAACACTCCGAGGATTTTCAGGCGACTACTTACCGTAGGCACGTTACTTAGGCTAACAACCGTACTCGCCTGCTGTCAGAATAGACCGAAGAGAGGCAAGGACCTACAAGGAGCTCACAGAGACCCAGTCGTTATTAGCGGGATGTTTTTCGAAGCCACAATTAGCTCTACTCACTATTTTTTGCTTCGTCTTGTAGGTGCAGTGAAAACTCACCAATACATTTTGAAGTATCAACAGCTACGCCTGAATCTAACTCGGTTTGGTACTGAGCTGTACTACTGAAAGCAAGTAATTTGCTGACGTCAACTAACAGACATAAATCAAAGTAGAACTTGGCACAGAAGTGTGTCGGTTCGAATTGTCACACTTTACAACAGCATGCAAAGAAAAAAATTGGGTAAAAAAAAAGAAATATTAAGGTAGAAGTATGCGAGGACTAAGGAAATAAGTAGACGAAGCTTAATGAAAATGTTCAAGACCGTAAAGAGGATGAAGAGGGAATACATCCGAGACAATGTGACCGATTCTCAACTACATCACAGAGAATTTCCAGCAGACGAGTCCTACTGTTTCGAGAACCCTATCCAGGCAACCCAGTCAACTCACACCAACAGATACCTTATGGACTGATCCATACCGTGGTTTCGCCTTCCTTAGCCTTTCAGTCCAATCCTACTACAGCTGACAATCGCCAGTTGACTCGGTATGCAAAACACGCCTAAAATATCTAAGTCTGCGGAAGTTTACAGCTTCATTAAGTGACTTATAATTTTTGACTAGAAATCGAAATTTAACATTGATGTTGCTTACCCAGTGATCCCAACACACACAAGCAATGATAGGAAGGTGTGGTAAAAACTTAGAACCTTTTCATACCCGCTAAGACGACAATTTCTCAGCGATACGATAGAACACAGTGAACTGTTGTATAGTATTATCGTCTTATGATCTATACTTGAATATCTCCCCAGCGTCATAGATGAAAGAAATTAACAAATCTGCAACTAACCTTATAATTCCAAGCTGAAATTTCTCAGCCCGTTAGGGCTGATGCAACTCCCTAAGTGAAGTGGTCAGCGCATTCTACCACTCCACTACCTATCCTTAGACTGGGAGCAGTTACAGGCCAGTTCTGAAGCATTATCTTACAACTCACAGGTGCGGAACGTATGCCAAACATATTTAGATTTCTGTTAAATGCGTTCAGAAAACCCTGCATTTTGTCAGCGTTTTAACCTAACAGTTTAATATCGTCTGCGTACTCCAAGTCAACTAGGCACCCTTCATAGAGCATATCAATCCCTGTGAAGTCAAACCTACTTAAGACTGTCTATTGTTATGGTAGCAGCGAACATCCCTGGTGGACACCAGTAGTTGTCATCAATTCAGATGACAACTCCCTATTAGCCCTTACATAGCCACATGAGTTCCAGCAGAGAGCTTTGATAGGCATTATATACTTGCTCGATACTCCCTTCACCGTCAGACACTGTCACAACACCTCTCGGCCAACAGAGTCAAATGTCACTCTCAAATCAAGAAATATGACAAGTGTCGGCCGCCAGTAAGTATGCCTGTGTCCCATAACTTGTCGGTGAGAAACTGGTCGATGCACCCCTGTGCAGCTCCTAAACTTGGCCGGTTTCCTCGAGCTCCCTGTTCAAGGGCTCCAGTTAGATATCAGAAAACCATGGACCCCAACAACTCTCCCTTTCTGTAGACTGGGATGATCAGTGAAGCAAACCAGTCTGACGGAACTACCTCTGATTCGCATACACACGAATGCGTGTGGGCTCACTTTACTAAATCAGTACGTTTTCTCACCAAGAAATGTGCCATTGAAACCTATTATGATTTCTGTTATTGAAACTTAGCAGTCGCATGCATTGTCGTGCACCAGGCTTTCAGTTACACCTACCTCGTAAATATTAAAGATTTTACCTGGCTGCCCAAACCTTAAATGCAGTGGAGTTTTAATCCATGACCCAATGGTAAGAAGTTAACTGCCTACACCAATGGGTCACAATTCCATTGCTTCCATAAGTGAAAATCGGCTTTATGCGGTTTCGAGCGGGTTATACTTTGAGATGATGGAAAAGATTTGTAGCTCAGAATGATGATAGTGGTTTGCTGTTCTCTGAGCTTTGATATTTTGTTGTGAACGTTTCATCACTAGGCATAGCGACACCTTCAGCACTAACTTCATGAGGAAGTGAAGCACAATCGAATATTACAATATTACAAAGCTTCAAGAGAATTTCTAGAAGTATGGCATTCAAACGAAATGTCAATCAACAGACATGTGAATATAGACCCATTCTACAATTTACTTAGGAAGAAAACAGTCATCCATCAACCAGGGGCAAGTTGACCATACAAATCAATAATGATGCATATTGTGATATCAAACAGTACAATTTATATAATGATGTGAGTGAATAAATTTAAGGTTAAAGAGGTTAGGGTGTGATAAAAAAATTCTTTCCCAACTCGCAAATGGACAATATTCAAGGCCGATGGGATATTCGATCATGCTTCGCTTCTTCATGAAGTTAGTGCTGAAGATGTCACGAAGCCTAGTGATGAAATGTTCAAAAAACATCAAAGCTCAGAGAACACCAAATCACCAACAAGGTTATACTTTTCTATATCCGGACTTGAGTATAGTCCGAGACTGTTTTTAGTGGTTAAACTGAAGCCAAACCTCTTAAACATTTCACTAAATGAACTAGATATTTTACACGCTAGTTTAAGTTCATTTATGAAGGAGAATACGGTTTTTGAATACCTTAGTTTTCTAATCTCTTCTTTCCCTGGACGTACTGACATTAATTGTGGCAAATTAAACTGATAAATAACTACGTTGGACACTATATGATCTACTTTCAGTTTTTTTCCCTTTCAACTCACCACTTTACAATGATCTCTTTCCAATTTGCAATCGATAGCTGCTACCTTGACGTGGTGGTCGGGCTTGCATATCACAATGACCCAACGAGCTATGCTGGTGGAACGCTTGTTCCCTCGAGGTCCTACCATACCAGAAAGGTCTGTTGGGTAGTGGTTAGACGAAAAGCAGTTACCGTCATAGTGTAAATTGCTACACTATGATGGGGGTCTGAGGGCGAAGTCGTACTGCTGCTAGCTGGATGGGGTGTGACAGCAGTAAGGTGTTTCCCTTGGATGACCAGCAGTGCCAAGCTGATGCTGCCTTCTCAGTGGAAGGGGGGGTTAGAAAAGGTCGGCCCCAAAAATAACACACTCCACCACGCCCCACGGTCTGCCGGGCCGGCGGTGTTGGTTCACTTGTCGTTTCCTTTCGCTCATCCGGCCCCAAAAATACAAAAATTCAAAATAATCATACTCAAAAGGCTGGGTGTGACAGGCCTCAAGCAGATGTCCGATGGGCTCTGCGGTCACACAAATCTCTTTCAGGTACCTTAAGAAGAAATAGCCTTCCACGGTGTGGGCAGCCGGGAAGTGTCAACCGCCCTCACAACTCTGTCAGCACCCAAGTTTCTTCTGACTGCTATCCTCCTCCTCCATCATTACCTTCTAATCTTCCTTCACGTCTCTTAATTAATGATGCTGCATCATCTTCAATTTCTCCTACCTCTGCAGCCTTCGACAACGATCTGAGTCCACAGAACAGTGTCCCTGGTCTCCTTAAACCACGCTCCAAATTACATATTGGAGCCTTCAATGTCCGCACCCTCCGTCAAATTGGCCAACAGGCTTCGTTGGCAAAGACTCTAGCAACTCGAGGCATGGATGTGTGCTGTGTTTGTGAGACACGCATACAGGACCCAAGTGTGGTTATTCACCTGACCTCTCCTGACCAATCTGGTGAATCTGCAAAATTCACCCTTCGAGTTTCTGGAGATTCGATAGCTAGCTCTCGTGGTCTTGCAGGTGTAGGTATAGCATTAAGCACCAGGGCAGAAAACTCACTACTAGACTGGATCCCAGTTGATAGTCGCCTCTGCGCTATGAGGCTGAACGGCACAGTGAGAACTAAAAGGAATAGTGAGACTCGCCGTTGTCTCTTTGTAATCTCTGCTTACGCACCCACTGACTGTAGTTCGGATGAAGTGAAGGACGAGTTCTACCATAAACTGTCTAACCTCCTCTCGAAAGCCAAACGTTCGGACGTAGTGGTTGTTGCAGGTGACCTCAACGCACAGGTGGGTAGACTGAGTGAGGCAGAAAGGCACTTAGGTGGCACTTTCGGAATCCCAGCTGAACGTACAGATAACGGTGATCGCCTATTACAACTATGCTCAGATAACCGCCTATTTTTAGCCAGCACAAATTTCAGACATAAAGAAAGGCACTGTCTGACCTGGCGTCCACCGAGCTCGACTCAGCGATGGACACAGATAGACCACATTGCTATTAGTCATCGCTGGAGAGGATCGGTGGAAGACTGCCGCTCCTTCTGGAGTACGTGTTTGGACAGCGATCATGCGTTGGTCCGAGCACGTATATGCCTGCGTCTCAATGGACGTAGAAAAAATTTGGCAACAAAACCACTACGAGTTCTGCTGGACAACGAAAACACCAAAGCCGTGTTCAGTGAGAAGTTGGCTAGGCAGTTATCGGAACAAAAGACTGTCACTCATCCAGAAGAAGCTTGGTGCCATCTTCAGTCTACTGTAAAAGCAGCACTGGAGACTGTAGCCGACTCCAAGATAATGGCTAAAAAGAGCCAGTGGATATCAGCAGCTTCTTCCAAACTAATGGATGCACGTGAATGCATCCCTGCAGGCTCTGAGTACAATGAAGAGCGAGCGCAACTTAAAAATAAACTGACGAAAAGTCTGCGCAACGATCGTGAACAGTGGTGGGCAGCAAAGGCTAAAGAGATGGAAAAGGCAGCGGCGATCGGTAACAGTAGACAGTTATTTAGACTTATTAAGGAGACTGGGGGGAAATGGTCAACAACAGTTAGTGAGGTTATAGCGGAGAAGGACGGATCGCGATTCACTCGCAGGGAAGGCGACTGGGACGATGGGCAGAACACTTTGAGGAACAGTTTAACTGGCCTCCAGCCACCATTGCGCTGCCCGCTATCCAGTCGGACCCTGAATGGGACATAGAGACAGGTCCCCCAACACTAGAAGAAGTTGAGAAAGCGGTAGGTAGCCTGAAACGGGAAGGGCAGCAGGACCAGACGGACTACCTGCTGAGGTATACAAGAATGGTGGTAGAGTTCTCTTAGTCAGGCTAACGGAAGTGTTAGCCAGTATATGGGAATCAAATACGATCCCCTCCGACTGGTCTAAGTCACTCATCATCCCAGTCTTCAAGAAAGGCGAGAAGTCCTCTTGTGATAACCACAGAGGAATCAGCCTGACAAACATAGTGTCTAAGATCCTAAGTTCTATAATTCTCCGACGCCTGAGTGGAGCTCGGGAACAGCAAGCCCGAGAAAACCAGGCAGGCTTTAGACCTGGCCGTGGATGTATCGACCAAATATTCACACTGCGCCAGGTCCTGGAACATAGGCATGCTTACAGACGCCCGACAATAGCTGTATTTCTCGACCTGAAGGCGGCATTTGACTCCGTTGATCGAGAAGTCTTATGGCAGTGTCTGTCACTGAAAGGCGTGCCTAGTAAGTACATCACCTTATTGAAAGCTCTCTACTCGAACACTTGTGGGCATGTTAGAGCCTATGGTGAGTTGTCCAGGGAGCTATACTCATCAAGTGGTGTCCGTCAAGGATGCCCACTATCCCCATTCTTATTTAATTTTATCATAGATATTCTTATGGAGGTTTCCCTCTCGTCACCTAATTACAAAGACGTTGACCGGACCACAGGTGAATTTTCCTTAGATCTAGAATATGCAGATGACATAGTCCTGTTAGGTGAAGACGCTGACAAGATGCAGAGTCTTCTGAACACTTTGAGTGGGAATTTGAGAATGTTTGGGATGCGATTTTCACCACCCAAATGCAAATTTTTGCTCCAGGACTGGTCTTCAGCGGTACCGCGGTTAACAATAGAGAGTGAAGTGGTTGAGTGTGTTGACCACTTCACTTACCTGGGAAGTAGGATCAACTCCGGTGGGTTAGTTGCCGATGAGATTTCTGCACGGATACAAAAGGCTCGATTGGCTTTTGCCAATTTGCGCCACCTATGGCGCCGCCGTGATATTCGTTTGTCTATTAAGGGTCGCGTGTACTGCACAGCAGTCCGCTCTGTTCTACTGTATGGCTGTGAAACATGGCCATTGAAAGTGGAAGACATGAGAAGGTTACAGGTATTTGACCACCGTTGCCTTCGTAGTATAGGACGTATTCCGTGGTGTCACCATGTGAGTAATGCAGAAGTTAGGTGTAGAGTTTTAGGGAGAAGAGGTAAGTCAGTCGACGAGGTTGTGAACCTTCATCGACTGAGATGGTTGGGACACGTACTACGTATGCCTAGTCACCGATTGCCTCGTCACACAATGTTGGCTGAGGTGGGTTCAGGCTGGAAAAAGGCCCGAGGTGGCCAGACTAAAACATGGCACCAATGTATGAAGTCTCTGACTGTTGGTTTAAGCCATGTAGGACGATGCAGACTAGGTGGTTGGGGTCCACGGGACAAGAGGAACCAGTGGTTGGAGACCCTAGGTGATATGGCTCAGAACCGAAGTCAGTGGCGCAGATGTATACACACATTATCCTCATCTTAACAACGCTATACCGAATCTCACTATTTTGTCACTCCTCTTTCCTTTCTTCTCATACTTTATATTTCTTTTGACTGCATTCACTTATCTTCATCCTTCACCTCACTACCTTTTTACTTGATGTGCTGATATGAGGTGTGGCAACTCGGACCGTTACGCAGTAATGCCTGGTCCTATGTTGATAATGATGATGATGAATTTGCAATCGAACTGAACAGTATGTAACTAGTGTAAAACTTTCAGCATTTGCAAAGCAAGAGCAAAAACATGCACACACCTAGTAACGGTTGAATTTAGGGACTGTGGTTGAGTATAACTACACCATATAATGTATTTTCGAGATGGGTGGGGATTTTTTCTAAATTTAGAAGTAGTATTCATCATAGACTGACACCAGTTCGGGGACGATTAAAAATCTGGGAGCACTGGACAGCTGTTTCGTCCTAGTATGGGACTCCTCAGCAGCACGCACCATATAAATTGGTTTGACAGAGCACACAGTGAAACAGTATCACTAATCAAATAATTCATGCTTTTCAAAAGAGCAGAATATTTCTTCGTAACAGACAGACTACAGCTGTTTAGTACAAGTGGCAGTTATATAGTCATGTACTGTCGACAAGGACAAGCTAGTTGATGAGACATAAGCTGCTAGAAACACATAACAATTAATGTTCTTTAGTTAAACCGAACGCTGACAATGAATCTAGGAATAAGGATGCAAATTTAAAATGTAAGTACGGGAGTTTCTTAAGAATGCTGAGTACACCCAGTAGGAACGACAATATGAGTTCCCTTCTAGACTCATAAAAACGACTTGAGGATCTACTTTTCAACACTCGATTCAATTGGTATGACAGAACTTAAATAAATAAGTAACGTATCCTACACAACGTAAACAGTTAAGTTTAAGTGGGATAGTTGCATTGATAGAAATACAAGGAGAAAAGATTTGTAATCTTAAGTAATGCAGGAATATATATCCAGATGAAATCAGTGGGATCATATACATTTTGGTATTCTGGCAACAGTCAAAATCTGGCAAGTAATCCTTTGAAGAAACTTACTATTTATCGCGTCGTTTGACGCAACTTATCAGGTCATCCTGCACATATTCTTTTTCATATTTTGGAGGTCCTTGTTTCGGGCAAAATTCAATATCGATAGTTTCCTGGAACAAATATTCACAGAGTGGAAACGAACATACAGATAAAATTTGTTTTTCTGATAAGTAGTCGTGTAAACTTGTGATCAGAATCTCGTTGTCAACCAGAAAAGTAAAATCCGGGTATGCTCTCGTTTCTCCACTTTCTATACAGTGAAATTTATGAAAGAAAAATCATACCATCTAGCAGAACCTTCACCAATCTATTAAGCTCCACAGCAGTCGTTTGCCGGGGTACTGAGACAGGTGCAGATGAGACGTAATACCTAATAACATTTTGTGAAATGAAAAATAAGTAACTACTGCTTAGATTTGGTGTAGAACGAAATTTGAATATCCTGATCCATTTGCACGTCGAGTAGCGTCGTCCTTAAACCTGTCGCGACACGAGAACAAGGGGTGCAAAAAAATGTCGGAACAGAAGAAGCTTTCCCTTAGCTGGCTTCCACGTCTAGAACCCGTGAATCACTGCTCGTTGTGGTTGTTAGCCCGCTTACAAGTATCCAACTGGCTTTTAAGGGATTCATACGAAGTAGCCTGGATCACGTTTGTAGGAGGAGTGTTCCAGGGTTTAACAATTCTTAGGGAATAGAAGTTTTGCCTCATATCTAATCCGCCATGTCCCAGGCTTAATCTCTGTATGTGTCCTCCAAGATTAGTGTTACAGCTAGGATTTAATAAGTGACGGAGTGGGTGACTAGGAGTGCCCAGAATGTTATGTCATTATCAAGTCTACTCTTAGCATTCGGAATTCTAGAGGATACACATCCAGCACAATCAGTCGTTTTTCGTATGTCTTAGACCCAAGTCCTTGAACAGATTTGATTCAGAGCCTCTGGGTGCGTTTCGAAGCCCAGTTTAGCCTTCTGAAGAATACGAGCAAAGATGATGGTCACGAACACCAGGTGAGGCCGTATGAAGCTGTTGAAAATTTGATGCAAGCACCTACAATCGAACTGCCCGAAAATTTGTCTCAGAGGTGCTAAGGCCAAGTTTTCGCCCAGTACGTTTCTGTCACAGTTGGCACAGGACTTGTAGTCTTCAGAGACTTCGACACCCAGATCCTTTCCCGTCAGTGAAACTTCAAGCCCCATCCCGTTGAGGCTTTACAGTGTTTTACACATATCCCCTTGTATTTTTCAGGATCAAATGCGAGCCCATTATTGGCTGCCCAGTTGTGAGGTTGAGTTATATTTTCCTGTAGAGGAACACTGTCTTCCTCATTTCTCGTTCCTCTCCACAGTTTCACGTCGTCAGTAAAACGAAGGATTTCGGAAGAAGCCTGTTGAGGCAAGTTGTTTATGCATGTCAGAAAAAGAAGAAGCCCTAGTACTGAATCTTGGGAACACCACCAGAGTATTCTGTCTCTTTAGACATAGAGAAGCCCACTTGAACTCTAAATGAACGGCCTCGTAGATATCAAGACAACCATTCAAAGAGCGGCGGTCAAACCCCGACTAATTCCAGTTTATCAATAAGGCGGTCGCGATTCACACGATCAAACCCTTTGGCAAAGTCTAGGTAGATAGTGTCAATCTGTCCTCGATGGTCAACAGTGTTAGTCTATCTATCCACTGCAGTCAGCAGGTTGGTAATGCAGGAGTACCCTTCATGAAATCCATGTTGTTGAGGCGCAAAGAAGTTTGTCTTTGTGGGGAAATCCCTCGGTCTGCTGTAGATTAGTGATTCTATAACTATAGAAGCAATGGGTAGGGGTGTCACCGGTCGATACTCCTTTGTATTGCTTCGTTGTCCCCCCCCTGTGGAAGATTGGCGTCGTGTGGCCCAGCTTCCGAGGGTCGGGTACTATCGCCTGACTCAGAGAATTCCTCAATAATCCACTCAAATATTCGGACAAGATTGAAGCTCCTTCCCAAAGTACCACCGGATGGATTTTAGCCGGTCATGGAGAGGTGTATTTGGTGGGTGGTAGCAGTTTGCGCTGTACTAGCTCAACGCTTACGTCGACGACCGGGAGTCCTACTTCGATAGTGAGATATTCGTGAGCCCTTGAGTAGGTGGACGATGACGAAAGGATTTGCAGATACTGGTCGTCCAGGAGCTTAGCTGCTTTGGTGTCGTTATTGGCCAGTTCGTTAGCACCTAGTAATCGGGAAACTCCCTCTTTGGCCTGCCGGAACGAAGCAGCTTGGCGGAACAGACTTCTGGGGTTAGAAAGGAACATGTTTGTGAGCCTAACTTGATGCCGCTACCGATCGGCTCCCAATACCTTAGTACACATGCTTCCTGTCTGTTTTACTAATCTGTTTGTTCAGTGCCAGTCCGTATGCCTCCTACTCAGTGGTATCTCTCCAACCTAATTCAAAACAAAACACCAAATGTTTTAAGTCGTTCAACAGTGCGGGTGTGAGGAGCTGGTTGGTTTTCATCTTTTGGTCTGGTCGCTATACTGCTACACTGACATCGTTCCCTCGTGATGACCGCCACGTTGCAGACAAAGTTCGTCTGTTTGAGCTACATGCCTGATGGCCAGTCTTGTGGGTCATGACAAGGTCGACTCTTTTTCCGTGATGGCCCAAAGTAAATAGATTTATGTCGCAGCCTTTCAGAATATCCCTGTCTTCTTAGTCCTGTGGTTGATCTTGTGGTACTTTCTCAAGGAAGTTGGAGCCTGCCGTGAGTATTGGGAGCACAACCTCACTGAGGACTTGCAGGTGCGGCCATATTTAAGATTTGAAATCTGTGAGAAACGGTCAAGGGATGAAAGCACCGAGCTGTCTAAGCGGAGAGTTAAAAGAGTTTTTCACTTTGTCTGCATTTCTTTGTGTTTTGGGCTGTTGTTCGGAGTGTCCGAGAAGTTGAGCCTTAAATCTTTCCCGTGGATACCTTGGCGACAGCTCAGGTATTCAACTTTCGTCGGAATTCAGGCATCTTTACCTCCTGGACACTGGTGTGCATTACCTCTTACTTTTCCACGTTGACGCTCATTCTTTTCTTCGACAACCAGAGTTCTAGTAGCCGCAGGTCATTTAGGAGTGCTGTAAAGTTAGCCTCTTCATTTACTACCCTCCACACTAGTTCGTAATCAGAGAAAAGGAGGATGAGTGAAGGAATTTTGTGCAATGGATCGTTGATGAACAAGAGGGGCAGCAGTCCCAGAATTGCCCCTTAGTACACCCGGGACGTTGATGGTTTTCGCTCCCACCATATTTTGTTTACTTTAACGCAGAACCGTCTGCCCTCTAAATATCCTTTTAACCAAGAAGGTAGGGGTTCACTTAAGCTTACTAAGGTGATCCTGTTGAAGCAGGAGCGTGGACAGGACACAGCCAACTGCTTTAGCTGGGTCTAAAAAATAACGTGTGGTGGTTCTCGTTCTTCCCACCTAAACGCCTAGTCAACCCAGGCAGGTAGTCAGTAAGTTAGTAGAACATGAATGTCCACTTCAAAAGCCGTGCTGACCAGGCTGGTAGGTATTCGCCCTGTTAAAGAATCTAGAAATCTGGTCTTTCATCGGGCTTTCTAGTGCTTTGAATGGAATCCGTCTTCGGGCGCCAAAACGTCTTCGATCTCCCCCTTTGAATATGGGTTGCAGGACCACACATTTCTGTTCGTTAAGGAGTCTGCCTGACTGTCAAGTGCTTGAAGAAGTCCGTTGCTCGGTTTCACGGGGGCGTCGGTGGATTTGTTTATGACACCGGTCTCAGGTCGTGGCAACCGAGGAACTTCTCCTGAGAGAACCTGAATGGTTTCTTCAGCGCTTTTTTCCGTCTGACAGGGGTATGGCAAAGGTATTCATTGCTTGTGGCCTTATCAATCTCATGTCATGGTACACCGGTTTGGTGCCAGAAGTACTAATTTACACCTCGAAATGCACGATCAGAAGATCAGCTCTCTCTGGGACCGGTGATAAAGTTAATTTATTTGCTGGTTGACTACTTTTTGGCATGGAGGAGTACAGGTTCTCGGGGTCACTTTGTGACCCCCTGGTCCAGTTTGTTTGATGGCTTAACCTACCGCTAAGAATTCCTGTGCTGCAATGGTTGCGAATAATTTGGCAGTTTGGGGGGCTGGACCCCCTGCGTGATGGACGCTATTTAAACCAAACCTGATGTTTTGGTCTAAGAGAGGCCCTTCATCCCGCTTCCAGCCATGAGGTTCAAGCTAACGACCAACATGTTGCCTGCATCCAGGGATGTCGTGTATCTGTAGTTGCAGAACTTCATCAGCTGTCACGAAGATCATTACCGAGTGATCACCGGGACCAAGGGGGGGCTGAATACTTATGCTGTCGATGAGAGGATCCTCTTTCCCAGAGCGTGGTCCAGGTGTGGTGCATCTCCTTCAGGCTCCCAACGTGTGGCACTACCCACGTTCTCTGAGAGAACGGCAGTCATCATTGCGCTCTTCGGCTCCCAAACGAAGGGTCTACGGAGACTCGTTCCCGTTTCGAAGATGATGGACAGAATGCTGAAGTCACGGGTGGTGATCAAGAAGTCGTAATCCGCAGATGAGGTTGCCAACATTGCCGTCATGTACACCCCCACAAGTGCAAGAAAACCTAGTGAGGGACAGACAAATATTTGTACTTAACAACAATCGCTTTTTCGCAGACAACACGTTGTGGAACCCTCAGCATATGATATTTCAAACAGTTTGCTGCCTGTACTACATTCTTAAAAGAAGTGACATTTATGCCTGAGTGGTGTTAATAGTTGCATCAATGTGTAGGAGGAAGCTGGTAGTAAATAAGCGTCTGGTCTGGACCCGAGGATGGGTACATGATGAGATGTAGCTTTAGGGGTTGTATTTCAGTCGGCCAGCACAGAAATTCGCAATTCGAGATGGGTATCCTAAACATGTGTCCTAGAATGTGTCTACAGCGTACCTGCTACCTTTAACAATCATGAGATTACACCGATTACAGCTCTGGAAAATGCATCTGCCCTTCCATCTGATCACAAGATCATGTGAGGTGACTTTAAACTACCTGAAACTAAGTGGGATCCACTTACTGGTCCAGCTAGGTACAACGACGTTTCCCATTTACCAGCTGTTTTTGTATGGAAGCAAATTGTTACTACTGCAAGAGGTGACAACGTATTGGACTTAATATTTTGCCACAGCATGGTTCCTATTTTGGCAAATGTAGGCTCCAAGTTCCTAGAGAGTGATCAAAAGACGGCGTTATGCACACTACCACTTCCTGCAACTAGTGCTTCAGTTGGTAAGACGGATTGGTGGCAGATGTGTCCAATGATTAGGTGCACTGACTGGGGATCATTCTTCTCCACTACAGACCTCAAATTAACCATTGATATGTTTTATCACAACTCTAAAACCTGTCTCGATACCATAGTTCCATTGAAAAGTTTCAAAAAAGTGC